AATTTTTCAGCAGAGAAGTATTCACACACTGATAATCAGACAATCCAAAAGAAACAGGTACAGAAAGCTGAGAAAGTTGGCAGTATTAGAGCAGTTGACATCCTTAGCTTTTGGAGGGAGTTACGTGAGCTTCTGTTCTACTTTTTAAAACTATTTCGTTCTCCTAAAACAAAACAAAAATTGTGCTGAGGTTTACAGTTAGGATGCTATATCTGCGCCTAGAGGACCAAGAGCAAATCTTTAATTAATCTTTCTTCTCATCAGCTCTTTATCTCCCAAATGGAGGATAGGCCTTCAACCAGCTGATGCCAGACCATCCTCTAATGCCTCTTATTATCTTTACCCTCTAGCTCCCTTTTTTGTGTGTTTATTGGTCTGTTTATATTTCTGTGCGGGAGTCGCCGTGGCGTAGAGGCTAGACGCTCGCGTGAGTATCAGAAGGTCGTGGGTTCGCTCCCCAGCGGAGGGGGACTTTAAAAAAAATGACATTGACAAACACCAGTCTTGAGTGGGTACTGGGTGCAGTGCTGACCGCATCACCCATCTTGTGCCGATTGGTCTATAGAAATATAGGTCTAAACCTGTATGCCCTTTATGCCTAAAGGCGTAGAAAAGAGACTTTAAAAAAAAAGTATTTATGTGCCTCCATGGGTTCTAGAGCAAAGTTATTCTTATTATTTTGTTTTCAGGTTTCTCAGTATGTGTCATATTATTAACACAAACGTCTTTTTCCCACCGTTCGATTCCCTGAAATTTGGTTCTCTCCAAAGGCTCTACGTTGCTGATTCTATTATACAATTCAGTTCCCTCTTTTCTGCGCGGGCAGCAATTATTGAATGTTTGTAGTTTATTAGTAATTGTTTGAGTTGCTCCCCTTGTTTCCGCTCCATACAACTGAACTGATTTGACGTTGGAATTAAACATTTTAAGGTTAGTACTTTTGATCTCCTTTGACTTCGACAAATGTCCTGGTGCTATTATTGGGCGACGAGAGGAGTAGGTCAGAGAAGCAGCGGGAAAGTCTGACCTGTGTAGGGTTATGATAACACTGGGCCGGGTGTGCAGAGAGTGGCCAGCGGGTACTACGGAGGTTGAAGTCTAACAGTTGATTCACGATAATTCACTCCCGAGTGATCTCATTATCTATACAGATGGTTCGGCGTTGAGAGGAAAGTGCCTGGTGGTTTGTAGCGAAAGCTAATGGACAATCTTTAGTGCAAGACAGCCTAGCATATGACATCACCACATCTGGCACGAGAATGGGGGTGGAGGTGGTAACATCAGCTCTTCGGTGGCTAGAGAACAAGATGCATACACATGTCGTAATTGTAACAGACTCTGAACGCATGCTGAAAAAGGTGAGGGCAAGGTTGCTTCGAGCAGAGTGGAGAGCTTTACTGGAAATGTCACAGGTGGTGAGCATACTTTTGATCTTTTCTCCCAGGCTCTGCCGGCGTGGTGGGTAATGATTAGGCAGACAGTTGGTTGGATACGCACCATTGGGTGGTGAATTGATACATGACAGGGCAGATGTGGTCAAGGCCCTTTGGGAACAAGCAACGGAATCAGTAGAGATAGAAGATTATTATGGCCTGGAGAGAATGAGGCACCTGGGTGTAACCAGAGAGTCTGGCCGGCTCACTACACTCAGAGGAAAGGTAAGACGGACTTTTAACCAGTTTGTGACCGGTACCATCAGTAATGGAACTCTGCGCTGGCTGCTGAAGATGAGGACAGAGCATGCATGGGAATGCCCCGAATGCTGTGATGTCAATTCTTGACTCACCTCAACTCAACTGCTTGTGCTATTAAAACTGCTCTTGCTTTTTCTATTTGTATTTTAATACCAAGCAGATTGTAAGGCTGTATATCTTGAAGTAGGATATTCATTCATTCAGTAGCATGTCCCTCGCGGAACCTCGCTGCCATAACAACCCTCCGGAAAACCTTCCTATCATGAGCAAGATGTCCTGCGTCTGATACACCCATCTGGAGATCATCTGCCACATCCTGCACCCATCTTCTCCTTGGCCTTCCTCTTCCTCTCTTCCCAGGCATATACCCCTCCATTATTGTTCTCTCTAGACTTCCATGACGTTTCAAGTGACCAAAATATTTCAATTTTCTTTGTTTTATTGTCTTTACTAGCCAACCCTCTTCAATATTCAGCTCTTGAAGTATGGATGCATTTGTTCTTTTCTTTACCCAAGATATTCTTAGAACTTGTCTGTAACATTTATATGAAGTAGGATATAATAAAAGAAAATAGATAAGTGTTGTCTGGTTTATTCTCATGATACGTGTTTTGCCTTATGTATTTAAGACCTAACTGATTGTTATGGATTCTTGGCAAAATTTGCAGAAGGTAGTTTGCCGTTGCTTTCCTCCTGAGCAGTGACTATACTAGTCGGTGGCCATAGCCATTGTCTCTACTGATGAGATCATCTGCCTATCGCCGCAGAGTGCAGACCATAACCAACAATACCTGTCGGCTGCTCTTACACTCCATCCACCACCTGCTTCCATGGCTTCACGTAACCCTGATTGGGGGGCTAAACGGGTACTCCACCTTGCCCAAGGGTGTCCCGTAGACTAGCAGAGGAAAGGAGGCGTCTTACTTCTCCTTTGATAGGGGATACTCCTACCCCGCTAACATTTAAGACCTAACTGTTGTGATCTGGCTTGCGGATGTCTATCTTGCATCTGATTCCATCAGTGGGACAGAATAGAATTATAACCAGTGATGTCCAGGTTCTCAAGCTGTTGTGTAGGGTTTTACTAAATTATATATTCCTTGTTGCTGTCCTTATAATCCAGTATTGCTAGTGAACAATAGCAGGGACGACAGGAGACATTCAAGTCCATCCTTATTATCTATTTGCCGTCCTTTTTATGATGAAATTTTTCGTTATTTGAAGCCCCACACTGGATCTTGAGAGGGGCCGCAATATAGCCAGGCCATAAATATGGCTGAACGCGGTTTCTAGGACCCCTCCACGGTGATCCTCGTCTACATGGTGGCACATTGTGTCATCGGGTGTTAATCGCTTGTGTGATGTCCTGGTGAGGTAGATAGTCAGTCAGACATTCCTGTCGCACACCATTTCTTTTTTTAAAATGTTTCCTGTGAGTTCGTGTGTTTGTGTTCGTGAACAAGAATAGACCTACCGCACTGTAACAAGCATGTCCTGATAGGCAACAAGTTATGGTTGTTTTCTTCGAAGTCGAAGTTATTCTGCCTGAAAGACGAGGAACCAACAAGCTGCTTTAAAATAAGCTAGATCAATAAAAAGGATTTTCAAGCATAACTAAGGTTCCCGAACACGTCTAAAGTCCAGAAATGGATGAACAAAAAGAACTTCTCGCCAAAGTTTACAGCCCAGAGGCATTTGGAGGCGAACCTTTGAGGGAACTCAAGGCTACGCGAAGGACAAAACTGGAGATAGAAAGGATGGTTGAGGATCGAATTGACTGGCGACTGTTTGTCTCCTCTGGGCGCAATGAGGATTGATTGATTGGCACTCGCTGTGTGATGTGGTCAACATAACGTCGATCCCCTTTACTTCCTAGATCTTCCCTGGCGACCATTCCAGGCTAGGTCGACCTGGGAGCCAATGTCACATGTGGAGCCTGATTAGTTAAGATTTAAGCCATAAACCTTGAGACCTCCAGGCGAGCGTCTACCCACTACGCCACCACGACTGTCGACAGAAGCGAAGATTCCTGCCGTTTACCACGGTGCTTCCAGACTGTTTCAAGCTGTTGGAGATGGCAAGATTTGGAGAAGTATCGATCGTCGCGGGATTGGCAACCAGGTCGCCCCTTGGCTAGCCGGTAGACGACTGCGTCGCCGGTCAGGAAAGTATTTGGGTCCGTCTCCCTTAAACCGCATCATCACTGCACGAGTTCTTTCCACGACTGCTTGGGGTGTGGAATTCTAAGCCATTTTATATAACACACGTAAGTTACTCACAATTATAACCTAAAGCTGGCCCCTTCGTGGATGCTGGTTGAAAGTGACGATTTTGTGTATGAATGTGTGGGGATTGGTTAATTCCATCTCGTTGTTCTTCAACGTTGCCAGTCCGATATCCACAAAAATATGTCCTATGTAACTCCGTTTTCTTTCTTGTGTAGCAGTCCGTTGATTACACAACTGACAACTTAGCTGTCGCATGTCAGAGCAGAAAAAAAAAAAAAACCACCACTGACGTAGTCTCAGTCGAGCCGTTCGCCTGGGACTTCGCGGATTTAGTTTTCCAAGCACGTAAAGTTGACCTGGGTCCTTTACGTGTTGCTTGCTGGATACTTAATTAAAAAACATAACAACAATAGGCTAGCCAACTATTGTTCTGGTGGCCAGAATGTAACAATGTCCGCCAGAATGGTCGCGAACACGTCGCCTAACTCTAACCCTAACGTTAAACCTAAACCATAACCCTTATCATAATCCTAACCCTAAACACTAACCATAAACCCTAACCCCAAACCCTAACTCTACAACCTAACATTTAACCCAAACCCTAACCCTAATCCCTAAACCCGAACACTATACATAAATACCTATACTAGGCAGACTGAAAAGCCGCTGGAGAGACGCGCCACCCCCTTTTTCCAAGAAACGCGCGGAAAGCTTGGCGCACATAGAAAGCCGGGAAACTTTCTTAAATGTTGGACTGTGCCGTGACGTCATCTGAGGGGGGTGGGGGGGGGGGAAGTGGTGGAGATGTTGGGAAAGAACACTAACCCCAACCTCAACCCACAACACCACTTTCCCGGAAACGGCCGGATTTCCTTTGGGTGGAGGGGTTAAATTACAAATTAAAGTAATGCTGTATCATATGAAATAATTTCGTACGTTTTGTATTTCACAGCAACTCTTGACACAATACATGGGCAAAAGTGGACGTAGCTTTCAAGGCAACCCGGAATATTAAAGACTGAGTATTACTGTCACCTTCCTATACACAGCACCTCATCAATACAGCCTCCCCGAGACCATGTCAAACAATTCTGGTGTAGACAACAATTCGTCTGAGTGGGGAAATTACAGCATAGTTGAGGCCGATACTTACATGAAATACTTGATAACCTATATGGCATTGGATACAATATTTGCAGTGGCTGGTACATCGATCAACGTTTGGTTTCTCACAGCCATGTTGCTATCTCCAAAAATCCGCTCACGGTTACGCAACAAAATTATCTGTGGTATGCTGGTAGTGAACTTAATAGCGTCCGCGATAATTTGTCCGTTCTTTATTATCAGAACAGCTGCAGATTTTCTTATTGAGGATCACGTCGTACATTGTTACGTTTATACAGTTCACAACAACATCTACTACATCCAAAACTTTCTCAGCAATTGGTATATTTTTATCCTCGTATGTGTTTATACGGCTCAGGTGATGAACTTTGAACCCGTATTCACCCCGCAGTGGGTGAAAATGTTACTAACTGCTGTTATAATCACATCGCCGTGTGTGTTTGCTGTATTCTTCGTGCCTCTAACACGAACAAATTATGGCGAAACCTTCGACGGCTGTACAATAAACACACAGGAACTTGTTAGAGTCTACAAATCTTTGGACACGATTGTTCCCCAAGCGCTGATAATCTTACTGTTTGTGGCTACCGCAGTGTTGAAGCTCAGGCGATATCTTCAAGGACACTCTGACACACTCCGAGTGCAGCTCATAGACGACATAACACCGGCTGATCACTGGTATCCTTTCGTCGCTCTCCTTGTCACTGCGGTCTTGTCTGATTTCGGCGAGACGGCGATTTCTTTATATCCCGAGCTATTTTTCAAGCTTGCTTTTGAGATCTGGTAAGAGAAAATAAAAACCTTACTTTGTGTTTTGTCTTCTATGTAAAGTTTCTGAGACCGTTGTTAATCCATATTCTGGTGGTATCCTCCCACATGTAACAATGTCTATCACGTATTCTGCTGTTTGTTAATTTCATTCCGGTAAAAGCTCAATACTCCTATCTGGTAACACCAAGATCATAATATGTAAAACGCTGAAAAGAATAGTTGTCTTATGTGGCTCTAAAGCCATAGGCGTCTGTCTGTCTGTGTATGTGTGTGTATGTCTGTGTATGTCTGTGTGCCTGTCTGTGTCAATCTGCGTATGTGTGTGTGTGTGTCTGTCTGAGTGTTTGTGTGCGCACGCGTGTCTGTCTGTCTGTCTGTCTGTCTGTCTGTCTGTCTGTCTGTCTGTCTGTCTGTCTGTCTGTCTGTCTGTCTGTCTGTCTGTCTGTCTGTCTGTCTGTCTGTCTGTCTGTCTGTCTGTCTGTCTGTCTGTCTGTCCTGTCTGTCTGTCCTGTCTGTCTGTCCTGTCTGTCCTGTCTGTCCTGTCTGTCTGTCCTGTCTGTCTGTCCTGTCTGTCTGTCCTGTCTGTCCTGTCTGTCTGTCCTGTCTGTCTGTCTGTCTGTCTGTCTGTCTGTCTGTCTGTCTGTCTGTCTGTCTGTCTGTCTGTCTGTCTGTCTGTCTGTCTGTCTGTCTGTCTGTCTGTCTGTCTGTCTGTCTGTACACCTGTATTACACATGGCTAAATAAAATGTATCTTTTTATTTCAGGATGGGCTTGTATATTGCTGCAGGAATTTTGAATTACCTACTTGTGCTCCTCATCCCCGGAATTATCCTGCTTTTTCCAGACATCAGAGAACGAATCAAATCCTGGAGACCTTGCCGTCGATCAGCTCCTTCTGCAGATGTGGTTGTCACCTATGAGAAAAACACTTCGCAGCTGTCACAGATATAACTCTAGGTCGGAGTACATATTTTCACTTTGATGAGACGTGTAGCGTATAACAAAAGACACAGACGGTGGATAGGACACAAGTTGAGAAAACATTAGAACAATATAACTAGAATGTCTTTACACTGGAACCCACAGGGGCATTGAAAAAAGGAAGCCCCCCCCCCCCCCCCCCATACACACATGCACACACACATGGAGAAGGGAGCTATAGAGTAAAAGAGATGGTGATTACATGGGGAGAGCTGGATGCAGTAGTAATGGATTGAACGACATGGCTTGAGTTGGCTGACGACCTAAGAAGCTCAAGCACCGTCGAGGATCTTAAAATACTTTAGGTAGTTTTTTAACTCCATATTTTGCCCGGGCAGCGCCGTTAGGCTACTCTTTTCGATTTCCAACTGCCAAAAGATTTTTTACGCGCGCAAAAATGCACATGGGCGTCCGATTTAACTACCCAGAGACCAGGGGGAAATACTAGAAGTCCCAAGTCCACGTTAAAAAAATCCCAACGCTTACCAGGGATTGAACCCGGAACTCTAGCACTCTAGGCGGACACAATGCCACGGGACCATGCCCACCTTAGACGGTGTAACAAAGGAATGTGATTAGTGTTGATATTGTTTTTTTTTTTTTTTTATAAATACACGCTCTCACGCTCTCGTAATTCTAACGTACCGCGATCGAAACCCACTGCTAGCTGCGTGGATTTTTATCATGGTATGGGCCGTCACAGGTGAACCCAGACTAAAATGGGTAGGAGGATTGCTGTCTTGGGAAAGTAAAGGCGGCCGGCGTGATGCTGACTACATAACCCACCTAGTGCTGATGGTCTGTGAAATTATGAGCGCTCTTCCCATACACCTGATACGCCTAAAAGGCTTCACATAAAGGGTTCTTTACTGACTTTTTCTGGAAATTTCAGAAACAAAGACGGAATCGGCCAATCTTAACAGGAATTATTTACATTGATAAGGGTATGCTTATGACAACAGACAAAGAGATAATCTGTCTAATACCACGACTGATAATTTTTTTCAGGATATCATTAGGTGGCAGATATAAAATATCATCATCATTCTCATCATCATCATCATCATCATGTAGCAGATTTTTTGCAGAAAGTGGCTGTCACCACAGATTGCCTGAAAGAAACCCGGTTTCTCACCAGCTCTGAATCCTCGTGCACTTTCATATTCAAGGAGTCACTCAAATCCTGTACCCATTTTCGTGTTGGTCGGCTCCTGCCCCTCCTTCATGGTGTGAAACCTTTTGCTATAATTTTTTTTTCTAATCTACGGCGCTTGATATGACTAAAATATATCAGCTTCCGAGACAAGATGCTGTTTATTAGCCAATCTTCCTTAATGTTAAAATCTGTTAAAATGTTAGTATTTTTTCTCTTCCATTTTTCCCCATGGTATTTTGAGAATCTTTCTATAGCATTTCAGCTCAGAAGCCTCTATTTGATTTTTTTGGGGTTATATATATATATATATATATATATATATATATATATATATATATATATATATATATAAACAAAAGACAGAGTCAGGTATGCCCAGTTGAAGAGCATAAGTGATGAAAACTTAAGGGAGATGGCCTACCCTTCATTCACAGCATCAGATTAGCAGCAGGACCTAGCACTTGGTAGGCAGCTCCCTTATCCCACTTGAAAAATCAGGCAAAGCTCATTCAAGATTCAGCGGTTTTAGAATCATCATCATGTATCAGGTCCTCTGCAGAACGTCGCTCTCATCGCAGTCTGCCTGAAAGAAACTAGGTCTCTCGCCAGTTCTCCCGCCTCATGTACTTTCATACTCAAGGAGTCACTTATATCTGTGCCCATCTTCGTGGTGGTCGGCCCCTGCCCCTCCTTGCTGGTACCATGCCTTCTGGCGCTTGAGATGAACAAAATATTTCAGCTGCCAAGACAGGATGCTGTTTATTAGCCAGTCTTCCTTGATGTTCAGATCTTTCAAGATATCAGTATTTCTCCTCTTTTTTGCCCAAGATATTCTGAGAATCTTTCTATAGCATTTCAGCTTAAAAGCCCCTATTCTCTTTCTTAAGGACTTGGAGATAATCCACGACCCACATCCGCATGATGCTACAGGAAAGATGCATGCTCTCAAAATTCGAATTTTCATCTCCTTGCTGATGGTTAACCAAAGACCCTTTAGGCTGTTTCATCTTTGCATTGCTATGGCCATCCTCTATTCAATTTCTGTCAAACAGTCTCCATTGCTATTTATTATAGAGCCTTAATAATCAAAGTTTATGACATTTTCAATTTCCTTATCATTTATTGTTATTTTTGGGTGGCAGCCAGTTTTATCTGTGGACATTATTTCAGAAAAATCACACAGCAAAATACTTTTGCCACGGTGATAGAGAAGATTATTGCTGTTGAACTTCAAACGTTTTTTTGGAAATGGATGAGCCCATGTGAAAACGTTTGGAAAGCTACATGCCAGGGAAAGATAACGAATCAAATGCAGTTACTTTTGCTTTTTATGTTATTGAGGCGTTCCAGAAAAGACAGGAGTATAATGACAGCACTTGATGTTGAAGATGCCCACAATAGAGTCATATGTTATATCTTGATATCCACGCTCATGGTGAATCAGGTCTATCACTGGCTGGTTAACTGGATAGGTGCTGCCCTGCTGGTTAGACCTTAAAACCGTGCAATATCAGCCCTGAACTACCCCCATGGTTGCGCAATTTTCCCAGTTCTCCTCAATGAATATACAAGGAAGATTGCAGAAACTGAAGCGCCAGGTGCTGGAAGGATATTGACAAGTGCAAACGATGTTCTTGCACATAGGCCGGATCCCAGTACCCAGATAGGAAGAATGTTGTATTATTATTATATTCCCTGTCACCTCTATTATATGTGTACATATTTATCAAATATAAGCACTACACACACACACACACACACACACACACACACACACATAAACACACACAGAAACAAACCCACCATTATTAACTGAAATAAACGTTATTAACTGAAATAAACTTGGGGTTTGTTAACTTGGATAAATATCGTATTTTTATGCAGCAAATCAGTCAACTTATAGTTGTTTTCTTTTTTTAGAAAAGGGGTGGGGGGTGGGAGGGGAAGAGAGACAGACAGACAGACAGACAGACAGACAGACAGACAGACAGACAGACAGACAGACAGACAGACAGACAGACAGACAGACAGACAGACAGACAGACAGACAGACAGACAGACAGACAGACAGACACAGACAGACAGACAGACAGACAGACAGACAGACAGACAGACAGACAGACAGACAGACAGACAGACACACACACAGACACACAAACAGACAGAGTCAGATAGGCAAATAAACCGGAGCAAATATGAAGTCACTTTAGTACCCAGGCATTACAGACAATAACCAGTATAGCATCTAGTCAGTATATTAAATATTTGATAGAGAATCTAGTCATTATAGAAAACAGTAATTACAAAATCTATGTATTATACAATCCAGTCATGATAGACAGAAGTAAATACAGAATCTATTTATTATGCAATCTAGTTGTTATAAGGGAGTCCCCGTGGCGGAGCGGCTAGACGCTCGCCGAGGATCGGAAGGTCGTGGGTTCGCTTCCTGGAGGGGCAGGACTTTTTTCAAAAGTGACCTTGGCTCCCAGGTCGACCCAGCCTTGAATGGGTACCGGGAAGTAGAGGCGGCCGGCCTGATGCTGACCACATCACCTATCTTGTGCCCATTGGTCTATAAAAATATAGGTCTAGCCCTATATGCCCTAGACGCGCATCGAAAAGGGTCCTTTACTTTACTTTACTAGTCATTGAAGAAAGTGCTCAGCACAATATCTAATTATTACACTATCTAGTTTTTAAAGAATCTAGTCTTTATAGTATCAAGATCCTGAGTTAAAAGTTCATTGTAGTATCTAGCTTATAAAGGCTGATCAGAAGTTCGTGGGTTCGGATCTTGACGGAGCCTTGGCTCCCATGTCGACCCCGCCTTGAATGGGTACCAGGTGCGGCTCATAGAATTTAATGCACCCTGTGTGATGCTGATTACATCGCCTACTTAGTGCCAATTAGTCTATAAAATTTACGTCTTGCCCTATATGCCCAAAACACCTGGAAAAAAGGGGGAGGGGGGAAGGTTCTTTACTTTACGTCTTTATAGCTCATAATCATTATAGCATCTATTTATTCCCAGTGTTGCTTGCGGGGGCCCTATTATAGGGAAAACAAGAAAAGACCCACTGCCTACCCAAAAGCATGTCGTAAGAGTCGACTAATTGGGAGCTTCCTTCGAAGTCGGAGTGCATCTGTCTGAGAAGCAAGGAACCAGCAGTCTGCATACAAATGAGCCAGATCTGTAAAACTGATTCACACGCAAAACTCAGGTACTGGAAGAGGACTGCAATCCAAAAGTGGATGAACAGCCAGAACTTTTTGCCAGAGTTTGCAGCTGGTGAACACGAAGAAGGAGAAGAAGAAGCATCTATTTATTATAAAAAGCAGTCAAAAAGGTAAACTAGTTAGTTAATTAAATAGGTTTTTATGTAATGTCAATAAGTTAGTTACTTAGTTGAGCAACAATCATTGGTGTTATTTAATGTGCAAAAGCACATGGCATTCTGAATGTAATCGACCACCCGCAAATTTAGTGCATACAAGAACATGTCGTGGACACGCACACACACAAACATTCTATATGCATTACACATTGTCACATCAGGCATTTAACTCAGTAGGTGGGCCGACGAAACCCATGGACTCTGAGTTGAGAAAGGGAGAATTGTCTTCAGCGAAACATCGTCAGAAACACATTTTCAAAGCACTCATTGTTGGAACAGCTACAGTAGTTGAAGATCATCACCATCAAGTGCTTTGCCGACTGGCGTAGGCGATCATCCCTCTCCATAATCTGCGATCTGCAAATGCGCATTTCAGTTCGTGTGTGGACACCCCTCGATGCCTTCGAGTGTCGACA